TGTGTGTGTGTGTGTGTAGTAGAGTGCTGTGTGTGTGTAGTAGAGTGGTGTGTGTGTGTGTAGTAGAGTGCTGTGTGTGTGTAGTAGAGTGCTGTGTGTGTGTAGTAGAGTGCTGTGTGTGTGTGTAGTAGAGTGCTGTGTGTGTGTGTAGTAGAGTGCTGTGTGTGTGTGTAGTAGAGTGCTGTGTAAATGTGTGTAGTAGAGTGCTGTGTGATTTGTTTTCTCGGGGTCGCAGAGAGTTTGTGGATGTTTTACCCCAGTAGAAGCGTAGTCCTGGTCTGTGGCCAGGATCTGTAATGGCTGCTGGTTCCTCGGGTCGATGGCCATCGAGCCCTTTGAGGTGATCAGAGCTTCGTACTGCGGCCTCTGGAACTGTGGAGCATGAAGGCTCTCCACCTGCACGCTGATGGTGAGAGAGGTTGTGGTGAACTGATGAACGTTTGTCCTCTGAGCTGCCTGTGGGGATAAATATTTCTCATGAAACCTCTAAATAACTTTATTTCTTGTGTCAGCAGGAGTTCAAAGCTGCTGTGAGCTGCTCTGCTGATGTAAGATGACCCCATGTGTGTTCTATGTGGTGATTGCGTGTTCTTTTCATATATATATATGTAAAAAAAAAAAAAAAAAACCCTGCAGTTTGACTTTTTATAACTGTTTATTGTTGTTGCTGTTGTCCATTGTTGTCATCTTTCTTTGTTAAATCAGGTCTCTCTTGTAAAAGAGTCCTCGAGGCTCAATGGGATTACCTGTAGAAATAAAGGTTGAATGCATATAGTATGTTTGTTGATCAGGGAAGGAGTCCAGAGGAGGGACGCTGGATTCATGAACCTTTTCCATCTTGCCTAACTTTTTCTTTTTTCTTTTTCTTCTTTCGGCTGCTCCTTCTTCAGGGGTCACCACAGCGAACTAAGTCGCACGAAGACTTGGCAGTTATTTTTACGCCGGATGTTCTTCCTGACGCAACCACAGACCACCGAGCTACCACAGCCTCTGTGTGGAGCAGAGAGCTGCTGTCCAAGGAGCAGATGGTGGGAGTTAAGGGCCTTGCTCAAGGGTTCAGAGTAGGGCAAAGGAGGGTGGAGGCAGGTGTTGGTGCTTCACCTTTCCCACCCATATTTTGATGTTGTGTATACCTGGAGTTGAATCGACGATTTTCAGATCACATATCTGCCTTCTCTAACCTCTGCACCACCACTCCCTCTTCCATCTTTCCTCCTTATAGTGTGTCTTATATCTTATATTACAGATCTTCTTGTTCCATATTTTCCTAACAGAGCACTTCACTCTCAGACTGCAGATTTACTTGTGGTTCCTAGAGTTTCCAGCAGCAGAATGGGAGGAAGGTCTTCCAGTTCTCAGGCTCCTCTCTTGTGGAACCAACTTCCAGTTTCTGCCCATGAGGCTGACACATTGTCCAGTTTAAAAACTGGGATTAAGACTTTCCTTTTTGATAAATCCTATAGTTAGGGTTGTCTTGTTATGCTGCTATAGACTTAGACTACTAGAGAACAAATTGACCTCATTTTCTTTCCACTGTCGCCTTCATGCTTGTTCAAGATGAGAGTTCAGTGATGGAGTTAAACTCAAAGCTGCTCCTCAGATAAATAATGTTCAATTATTATTTTATACATGAATGTTTCTGTTCAGTCCCTGAGATGATTCTGTGACTTGGAGCTTTAGAAATAAACTGAATGGTCTTCTTTGGGGGTGAACGCTGCTTTATGCACGTCACAGGCTCAAACCTGGATAGTTTGATCAATCAGCAGCGCACTTTATTCTTTCTTCACACACCGACTTTTGGACTTTACCAGGACTGTCAGACTGATTGGTCCCAACACGTCAGCTGGCCTCAACATTGTGACGTTTCCTGTGTTTGGGTTGATCTCCAACAGATTATCTTCATCTCCTAGAACACAGACAGAACTGAGTCGATCTTCCATTATTTAGAAACCAGTTTGAGCGATGGACCATTGGAAGCTCCCTACCACTGAGGAAGGAGTACGTTATGTCTTCATCTATTCCCATGTCTCCATCAATGGCATAAAGTGGTCCTGGTTTCAAAGGTAATGCCCCAGTCTGTGAAGGGGAGGAAAAAAACAGTTATCCATATATTTCATAAAATCAAGAGGTGAATTTTGTACATGAACATTTAGAGTCCCTTTAGACCTCCCCCTCGATCTGTTCATCAGAAGTTGATGTGGTGTTGGTGCTGTTACCTCTTGTTCATTTAAATAAACCCTGCCGGTGTAGCCAGAACTCTCACAGACCACGGTTCCCCCCACTTCACGTCTGCTGCAAGGCTGGTACCATGGTGGTCTGTTGTCAATGTCTAAGATGGAAATCATGATGGTTGTGGTGGCCGTAAACGAGATATCTTCTGGCGGTGAGTCAAACTTTGTGTCCTAAAATAATAAGGACAGAATGTCCTGATGCATGCTCAGTAATTCAAGTAGGAAAATGTAACAAGGTTAAGTCAGGTCCATCGGTAACTCTCCGTTGGTCTATCAGAAGGATCTGTAAACCATTTTCTTTCTTTTGGCTGCTCCTTCTTCGGGGTCACCACAGCGAAATACTGTAAGTTGCACGAAGACTTGGTAATTACTATTTTTACACCAGATGTCCTTACTGACGCAACCACAGACCACCAAGCTACCACAGCCCTCTGTGTGGAGAAAACGGCTGCTGTCTAGGGTGTCAGGGGGAGCAGATGGTGGGGGTTAAGATCCTTGCTCAAGGGGCCAGAGTGGGAAAAATGAGGGTGGAGGCAGGTGTGGGTGTTTCACCAATCCCACCCACATTTTGATGTTGTCGGTACCGGAAGTTGAACCGGTGATCTTCCAATCACAGGCCCACCTTCTCTAACCTCTGCACCACCAATCCCCTTTTCTGTAAACTAGCTCCTTGAAATTATCTCCTTGGTTCAATTCTGAGTTACGTACTTTAAAACAGACATTTAGAAATCTAGAAAGAAAATGGCGCTCCACTAGCATTGAAGAATATTACTTATCCTGGAGAGATAGCCTGCTAACGTACAAAAAGCACTCCATAAAACTAGAACTTTATATTATTCATCTTAGAATAGATCCCATCCCAACCAGACTGTTTAAAGACGTATTTCCCTGAATTAATAACCACATCTTGGATCTGCTTAATTTGTCTCTAATAAATGGTTATGTACCACAGCGCTTTAAGGTTGCTGTAATTAAACCTTTACTTAAAAAGTCTGATCTTGATTCAGAAATTCTGGCCAACTATAGATCTATATCTAATCTAACTTTCATCTGAAAAATTCTAGAGAAAATAGTTGCAGGTCATTTACGGGATCATCTGCAAAGAAATAATCTGTTTGAAGAGTTTCAGTTGGGGTTTAGGTGAAAGTCACTAATGATGTTCTCATGGCCTCTGACAATGGACTTGTGTCTACACTGGTCCTGTTAGACCTCAGTGCTGCATTTCATACAGTTTATCATAATATTATATAACAGAGACTTGAATATGTTGTTGGAATTACAGGAACGGCTCTAAATTGGTTTAAATCATATTTATCTGATAGATTCCAGTTCCAGCTCCTGCGCATGGAGCGCGTATTTACATACACAGAAGGCTGAGTGATGAAATGTTTTTTTGTGCAAGCAGGTGCTTCATGTTGTGTCTGAATGGACCCAGTGAGGCATAGACTACATCCTGCTTCTCCTTTAACCCACCAGCGACAGTCTTAAAGGGCGAAGCCTATACGAAATAGAACGTTGGTTACGTACTGTAACCCCAGATTCTATGAGTATAAGTGTATTCCTTTAAGCTCTGGGCCTCACTGGCTCCTAAATGGCTGAAGAAAAAAAGATATTTGGGAGCCGATTGCTCGGTCTCACCGTAATTTATACGGACCGGGGGTGGGGCCCACACAGCCGGTGGGCGCGGACTAAAGTTTTCAGTGCTGTGCTGCGCGAAGGGATAAACCCACTAGCGATAGCCTTAAAGGGCTGCGCCTATACTCATAGAATCTGGGGTTACAGTACGTAACCAACGTTTCTACAGCTACCTGTATGATGTTGTTTTTTATTGTTTGTGTGTTTGGGTTATTAGTTTGGCTAAGTATGCAAAGATCTTGGATATTGTCACTGCCATCGGTTTGCCTGGTACTAAAATAAAATGGCGATAGCATTTGTTGTTCATAACTTGTTTGTTGTAACTTTATTATTAGTGAGCCTAACAGTTAACAGAACACACCCTGTTAGAATAAGGGAGTTCCCAGATCCTGGGTCCGGCAGGATCCGGCTCAGATTAAGCCCTGGTCGTTAGAATAAGAAGGACAGTAACCGTACAGAACGGAGAGCATCACTTTCAGCTTGTTGGAGGAAAAACATCAGTTTGTAAGACTCACCTGAGCTTGGAGTACCAGTTCAACCTGTTTAATCTTGTCGTAGTCAAGTTGTGCATCAACCAGGATTTCTGGGATGGTTGGTAACTTCAGTTTGAAATAAGTCTGCAGAGAACACATAAGTCATGAAATGTAACTTATACTGAGGACATGTACAACATGAGATTACAGGCAAAAATGTTTGTTCTTTTAAAATAATGAATTAAATTTTAGTATTTCATTCTGAGATTAAAGTCAAAATTTGTATATTTTATATATATATATATATATATATATTTTGCACTATGGCCCTAATCCTCTTTCCATATAAGATGCATTCATCGGATTATGAAGGAAAAATTGATGAAACAATGAGAGTCGTACAGATTCAGTTGTCAGCCTGTAGTACAGCTGGTCCTGGTCCTGGTCTGTGGCATCAAAATTACCCACAGTGGAACCTATGGGGGACATCTGGATAATAAAGTGTAAAAAATTAGACTGATCAGGTAAACACCAAGAATAATAAATGACTAGAGAAACCGTATTTCTGGCAAAAATACAGTGTGACTGCTTATTCCTGAAGAACTTGCTGAAAAACAGCTGAAACTAGCTAAATGTCGCTGAAATTGAAGAACAAACCTAAGTTAACAGAAGAAAACAGGAAGAACACATATTTGCTGAATTAGATTTAAATAAGCAGAAATTAGCACAAAAATTTGTAAGTTTGCTAAAAAGCTGAAAAGTAGCTAAACAATCATAAAGAAGCTTAAATTACCAGAAGGAAGTGAAGAGAGCACAATTGTGCCCAATTGGGCTGAAAGAAGCAAAAATGAGCAACAAAAAGTGGAAATTATATGAAAACAGCAGAAATATGAAAAAAAAAAGCCACCAGCTGAACAGTAGCTAAAAAAAGCAAAATGTCACTTAAATTACCAGAAGAAAGTGGAGAGAGCACATTTTTGCTGAATTAGGCTAAACAGGTTAAAACGAGTGCAAAAAATGTGCAATTAGCTGAAAAGGCTAAAATGAGAATAAAATATGATACATTTTAATTCATTCAACCTTTATTTATACACGTTAGTCTCACTGAGTCTCGGGGACTCATTTGAAGAGAGACCTGATTTTAACAGAGTGATGACGACAGTGGACGATCATAAAAGAGGCGTACAAATTGAGAAGAACAAGTGAAAATGAAATGTTAATTAAAACAATGAAACAAAAACAGCTAGGTTGTAAAGTGATGTAGAAACTAAAAACAGGAACATCTGCAGGAACTTAACAGATGTTTGAAGTCACTTATGAGGTCAAAGGTCGAGAGCTTCAGGTCTTTTTACAAGATATTCCAGGAAACAGGAGCGGAGTAGGAGAAGGTCCTTTTGTCTAGTTCAGTCCTCACTGAGGGAACACTGCAGGTAATGATGTCCTGAGAGCGCACGCTGTAGCTGCACTCACACAGAGACATGTAGGAGGAGATGTATGAAGGCAGCAGACCAGGAAGTGATTTAAAGATGAAAATGTACCAGTTAGAGAGTCTGTGTGGAGTTAATGGTGACCAGTTAACCAGTGAATACTGGGTTAAAGAATCCAGAATAATAAATATAAACAGGATCACAATAGTGTGAATGCTTAATAATCCATCCATCCTTTATCTTATACCCGCTTCTTCCATTTTGGGTCACGGGGGTCGCCGGTGCCCATGTCCTGCTTAATAATCATTCACACAAAAAAATCATAATAAATTAATAATTGTTTAACAAAAATGTTTTTAGATAGGTGTCAGTGTCTCTTACCTCATTGATGGTTGGTGTATACAGGATCTTGTCGAACACGGGGGGGTTATCGTTTACATTCTGTACAAATACATAAATGGTGTAATCGACCTGGAAACAACAAAAAACTGGCTTTAATTACCTAATATGCCTTTAACCTCCTGTCTTATTTATGATTTCATGTAGCACTAGAGTTCTGCCTGAGGAACCCCCGCCTGCACCTTAAACCTCCTTAAAACGTGCTCAGCCTCTGAGGGTTCATCACTGCTCTGAGGATTTATCAAAGTATTTTACAATCCTCTGAACTCTGTATACATGAGTCTTCTGGCATTGCATAAAACATCTTAAACGCCTGTAATCTCTCTGGAGTGAACCGTTGGTACTTTTTTATAAACTCGTTTTCTCAAAAACATTATAACACATGGAAAGTTTATTCAAAGCCTTTAAGAGTCTAACAAAACACTGTCCATCCCTTAAAGAAGCTGTGAAACCAAACCAAGTCCAAAGGTAAGCTGTGCAGGTCATAATGTTTTGGCTCACGTGTCTCCTTGCAGCTTTAGAAAATCCTCTCTAAAAAGGATCAAACGAGGGGCTCAGCTGGAAACAGTTCTGTTGCAGTCGGGAGCCCTCAGGGCCTTCAGAGACGGCCTGAGTCACATATGAAGTGTTTGAAAATGTTCATTATTTAATATAAAATATATACTTTCTGTGTAGTTTTAGTTTTATTATTTTGCTAATTTCTCATATTTTCTGTAAACCATTTTGCAGTTGAACAAGTCTTTTTTTATTTATTTTTTTATTCATGAAAGTATAGTTATCCAACCAGATATTTTTAAATTTCAGTCTCCAGGCAGAAACATGTTTGAAGGTTCTGTCTCATTGGTTAGGACTTCATTGTCAGGAGAGAAGGCGGAGCTCGATCAGAGACTCTGCAGGAGGAGTTTGTTTAATAACTGACGGGAACATTAACCAATCAGAATGCTGATATAGAGTGGGTGGGACTGAGGAGCTCAGGACTGTGAGAAGCACTGCAAAGCTTCTTGTGTGTGTGACCGTGTTCATATTTGTGTTGCATTCAACTGTACCCATTCATTTTTTAAAAATCCACGTTGAAATTGTAGTTGCTCTAAAAGATTGGTATTAATTATCACATTTAGGTTTAATTTGATCATTTTCAATATTAAAGTTGTGTTTTTGTTTCATTACGTGATAACAGTTTTGTGGGCTACTGTTGAATTTCAGTGTGAATTGTTAAAATTACACGTTGAGACTGGGTGTGCTGCAGGGCCTTCTGGGTAATCTAGGGACAGAAATGGGTGGACTTTTTCAGGTTCTGTGTTCAGATGGGTTGTCCTGCTGGTTCTGTTCAGTGTTGGGCTGGTGTTCATGTTCAGGTTGTTGATGGTGACTGTAAAGAAATGACTCCCATCAGTCAGATGTTGGACCTGATGGATAAAAAGCGGAGAAGCACTTCCTGTCAGAGAATTGCTGAGTTGCCAAATTGAAAGTAGTGACGTTAGCAAACTGTGACTCCGTGTCTTTGACGTTGGCTTTTAGTAGGATGCTCCAGCATTACATTCTAGTGCAAGGATGTAACCTGCTGTTCTCACCCTGCACATAACTGCAGGGCATCCCAGCATAGCACCAGCATTGCAGATGACACCTCCACCACACCTCACCACTACTTGGAGCATCTCACTTGGGCCCAGAAGATCAGTGAGGAAGGCAGAACAGCCTCTGTATTTTCTAAGAATGCAGAGGAATTCTGGGACACCAAGCCTTGTCTTAACCAACTTTTACAAATTTATAACAGAGTATTTGTACTCACTCCATTCTGGTTCTCTCTCTCCTCCTTTCTCCTTCAGGCTGTAGGTTCAGCTCTTTTCGGAGCAGTGTCAGCCACATGGATTCTCCTTCTCCATTTTGCTCTGTTTCGTGTGTCTATTGTGAGATGCAGTGTCTTTGGGTGCCAAGATGGCCGCGCTCAGCTGAGCTGCAGCTTCACAGGCTCCCGGTGAACTCGATCTTTTTTTGTTCCTGTTGTTTTTGTTAACATTTTTTTTGTGCCTACAATGCACATCCACGGTAAAGGTATGACCACAACACACTTGTGGAGTTTTCTGTTTCACTGCCATCCTGCCATTGTGGTTCAGTCCTTCCATCCTCGGGCTCAGGCCTGTCATGGCAGCTGTCGCCATGATCCTCCATCACGGACCGAACTCTACGGACCTGTTCAGTTCCACGGGTAAACCTTAAATGTTCTCCATCTGCCGGATCTGGTTCTGGAGGACAGTCTGGGAGGGCAGCTGCTGCGGTCCTTGTTACCATCAAGCTGCTGATGGGACCTGCTAACTAGACCTGCTAATGCTGCTAACAATATCCTCTGTCTGCCTGATGGGACTCTGTGGATGCGCCTGGTTCCACGGGGGGACCTTGGATGTTCTCTGTCTGCCAGACCTGATTCTGGAGGGCAGTCTGGGAGGGCAGCTGCTGCGGTCCTTGTTACCATCAAAGCTGCTGACAGGACCTGCTAACACTGCTAAAAAGATCACGCCGCTAACCAAACCACACCGCTAACAATACCATACTGCTAACTGGACCATGTTAATAAGAGAACCTCACTGTCATCAGAACCATTCTGCCAATACGACCATGCTGCTGTAGATAGATTTCTTTTTCCCTTTTGGCATCTTGTTTCTGTATTTTTGTTGCATGATTTGAACAAATCTGTTTCTTAGTTTAGTTTATGTTAGAGCTCACATTGAGCATGTAAATTATAGAAAAACTGGACCTATGAGAATCGTGCTGCTGCTGTTTGGTGTATTGTTTTGCACTATTAGTGACTAGTGTATATCTTAGGTCTTTTAGCGTACTCTTGGGCATTCCTTTAGCATATATCTTAGTTGATATCTCAGATCCTTATGTACTGTTTCTTTTTACATTTTATATTTTTGCTATTGTTGGATGTAACTGGGACCCTGTGTACACTTTCATTCCACCTCATGTACCACATGCAATGTGAATGACACTGAAGAACCTTGAATCCTTGAATCCATACCCTGCTGGATCATATCCATCCACCTCTTCTTCTGTCGTCCCCTGCTTTGTTGACCAGAAACTTCTGTGTTTAATAGCCTTTTTACCTCGTTGCCATCTTCCATTTTCTGCACATGCCCGTACCATCTCATTCTTGATACTGTATCTTATCCGTGAGGCATGCCGTGCCAAGTGTTTTTTCTGATATCGTCATTTCACCGTCTATCCTTGAGGGATACTCCAAGAATCACATGTAACATCTGCATTCCTGTTCTTTCCAGGAGTTCCTCTTCCTTTCTCTTTCATGTCCATACCTCAACTCCACAAAGCAAGACTGGGTGCACCATCATCTTGTACACTTTCCATTTGATATGAATCGGCATCCTTTTGTCACAAAGCACTCCTGTCAGCTCCGTCTGTTTTTGCCACGCCGCACCAATTCTGCATTTAACGTCTTCTTCACAGCTTCCTTTGGCATTTATCACCGACCTCAGATACTTGAACGTTTCGACCTGTTTCAGTACATTTCCTCTATCATCAGTAATTGTTATGGTCTCGTTAGCTTTCGGGAAGACCGTGGTCTGTTTTTGCTGCAGTTTATTTTCAGACCTTTTCTTTCAACTGCTGCCACCATCTGAAACTGTCTTGGAGGTAAATTTCAGAATATCCAACCACAAGTAGGTCATCTGCGTACAACACCCCCCACAGAACTTCACTCCTAATAAGCTCAGTAATTGCGTCCATCACAACAATAAACAACAGTGAGCTGAGACACCCTCTCTTCACGTCGAGGGTGAGGTTCTGCCTCAAGTGGAGGAGTTCAAGTATCTCTGAGGGAAGAATGGAGCGTGAGATTGGCAGACAGATTGGTGCAGTGTCTGCAGTATTGTGGACTCCGTACCAGTTCTGTTGTGGTGAGAGGGAACTGAGCTGCAAGGCGAAGCTCTCTGTTTACCGGTCGGTCTACGTTCCTCCCCTCACCTCTGGTCATGAACTCTGAGTAAAGACTGAAAGAATGAGATTGTGGATACAGGAGGTTGAATTATCATGAGAGACTCAGAGTAGAATAACCGCTGCTCCTCCACATTGAGAGGAGCCAGTTGAGGTGGTTCGGGCTAGAGCTGTCATTTCTAACCCGAACTTGGAGCCCGGCACCGCCCGACCCATGTTCGGGCTGGGCTGGTCTATAATAATGTGCTTAATGTGCGGACCAAGTCAGTGTCAGATTTTGATTGTATCAGCAGATGCACGCTGCTGACAATCCAATTATATGGCAACATGACTTGCCATACCAGATGCACGAGGCCATTTCACTGCACTCTGAATGGCCTTGAAAGAGGCAAAAAGTTCAGTTACGCTTCAGATGGACTACTGCTAGTGATCCATCGCCCAAATAGATGTTCATTCAGCCACTGCACTCAGCGGACACATGCGGCTCACGACCCAAACAAGTGAGATCACAAAATATCCAACATGTCGGAGCAGGGTCCAATGCAGGCAGAAGCAGGGGAAGAGTTTAATGTGCTTTGATGACTGCCCCCCTTTTATTCAGCAGCGCGTGTCCGTCGACTGTTAATAACCATAGCTCTAACCAGTCAAAGCTTAATGAAAAATGTTGGGGGGGTTCAGGTTCGGACCTGTATTTGCTGTTACTTCGTCGGATTGGATGAGGTTCAGAAATTATGGCTACGAGCTGGGGCCGGGTGGTGTTGGGTTTTTTGGACCCGAATGCAACTCTAGCTCAAGCATCTGATAAGGATGCTCCCTGGGCGCCTCCCTAGAGAGATGCTTCGGGTATGTCCAACTGGGAGGAGACCCCAGGGAAGACCCAGGACACGCTGGAGAGACCAGTCTCTCAGTTGGCCTGGGAACGCCTTAAGCTCCCCCCAGAAGAGCTGGAAGAGGCTGTGGAGAGATGTCTGGACCTCCCTGCTCAAGCTGCTGCCCCGAGACCTGAGTCCAGAACAAGCAGAAGATGATGGATGGATGGATGGATGGATGGATGGATGGATGGATGGATGGATGGAGCTGAGACATGAACCCTGATAAACGTCAACATTAATCTCAAACTTACTCAGTTCTGGTTCTGATGAGAACAACAGTCCAGGGAACAATACTCTACAGAGAATGGTCAGAAATCCACCAGCACTGGAGGACATCTACAAAACCAGACCTTCCAGGAGGACCAACATTGTCCTTAAGGACCTATGACCCAAAGTGTTCAGCACCCCTCAGGGAGGAGCAGCAGAACCACCAACATCTACCCAAACATCAGTCGTTTCACAGGAACAGAACCCACGGTTGTACAAATAAATCTTGTGCAATCAAATTACCTACTGTACATCCCATGTGTGCACGTAAAAGTTTGTCCGAATCACTGTGCACACTTTATTGTATTTAGTGAATGTTTTTATCATTGCTGGGTTTTACTTTCACCCACTTTCACATTTTATTGCACGTTTGCTGTTAAATCACAATCGTTTTAATGTCATCATTATTGTGATTGTTTAATCTATTGTTCAGTCTAATTTAATGTTTATATTGTTTCCTTTATTCTGCCTGTTTATTAAAAAAATCACTACATTAGTGAGACAAAAGTCAAGTCATTGTCTTTCCAAATGAAATCTTACTGAAGTTTCTCTAGTGCATACGATGCCAACCATGAAAGGAGAAATCATCTGAAAAAGATTAAACACAACATGCATATAAATAATTAGCCAATAAAGATTGAGATGTCAGTTTAGACCTGTTATTATTATTACTGACCGTCTCAAAGTCCAACACACTCGTAGCTATCAGCTGGTTTCCATCAATTGCAAAAGGGAAATCAGGGGGGTTGTTTGGGGAGTAGGTGAGGGTCACTCCGGTCTCGATGGGGATTGTTGCCACGACAGCCCCCACATGGTTGTTTTCTGCGATGGTTGCAGTTGTATTTGGAGAACAGCCGGCTGGGACAGAAGAAAACAATTTGTCACTAACCAAGAAACTCTTCTGACTCAAATGAGTAAATGTTTCACTGGGATGACTGCGTTCTGTGAAGAGACCAGACTGAGAACATTTTCTGAGAGAACAGTTTTTACATCTTCAGGTTCAGACTCGGATCATTCAAGTCAGTTTAAATAGCACCAAGTCACAACAGAATCACCTCAGACACTGAACAGAAACATTCATGTATAAAATAATAATTGAACAGAAACATTCATCTATAAAATAATAATTGAACAGAAACATTCATGTATAAAATAATAATTGAACAGAAACATTCATCTATAAAATAATAATTGAACAGAAACATTCATGTATAAAATAATAATTGAACATTATTTATCTGAGGAGCAGCTTTGAGTTTAACTCCATCACTGAACTCTCATCTTGAACAAGCATGAAGGCGACAGTGGAAAGAAAAACTCCCTCATGAGGAAGAAACCTTTAGCAGAACCAGGATCAGGACAAGAGGACCATCTGCTTCGACCGGCTGGGTTTGGTAGGAATAGATACACAATGGCAGGTCAAGAATCACATGTTAAGATAGAAATAGAATCAAATGAAAACTATTCAGTTTTAACCTGATGCATGCTCAATAATCCAGGTAGAAAAATCCAAAAAAGTTCAATCTGGTCCTCTGGACATTCAAAAAAACAAAACAAAAAATGTAGAAACGTTTCGTCTCTCATCCGAGAGACTTCCTCAGTCTGAGGTGCTGTATTCAGCTCAGTCTCTTAAATAGCACCTTCTCAGAGTGGATCAACCAGTTTGCTGCTGACAACCAGAACCAGCTGATCACATGCTCAAGAAGGACCATCAGCCTAACAAAGGATCATTAGCACCTGATGGCTGTTTACTGTTCACAGAGGGCTGAGT